ATAGTATTCAGAATACTACTTAACACAAATGTTAGTATGATTCTGGTTCTACTGGATTTTTTTTATTATCATTTATTATTTTTACTGATGCACTTAATGGGTTAACACCACTAATTCGGACCTGGTCAGAAAATTAAACAAAAATAGTTACTACGAATGGTTGTAACTTTTAAAATATGAAGAATATGTTGGTAATTTTCGTATCAAATGAAAGTTGAATGAATGGTAATCATAGAACAATTTTTGTCTAAAAATTTGAATACAAAAGCTGCATGAAATTTAAACATTGAGGTACATTTTGCTTGTTTCACAGATCTGAAGTACCTGTTTTGGTACTTCCTAAGTTCCTGGAACCAGTTCGCTCTTATATGCAAGTAAAGACATGATTGAAGAAAAACAAAATATTTCTTTTAAATTGTTTCTTCTATTTTTTTTTTTTTGTAATCATCTAGTACAATCCAGGATCCTCCTAGTACAAATCTGGTTATCCTAATTTCTACCAGAAGATATTGGAATTATTATTTGTACTGGATTTTAATTAGGATAAATCAAAATGCCAATTTCTACAAGTAGATATTAGAATTCCGATTTGTAATGTAATATGTACATCAACAGTTTATATTGACAACGATATCGATATCGTACTAGAAGCGAATGGAGTGATATGAGAACAGGTGTGATATGATGGCTTCTCTTATGTCGAATAAAAGACAAGTTACAATGCAACAAACGTTTTGTCATGCTAACAGATATGTAAAGTGAAATTTTATTAGATTTGAGGTTTTTTCACGTCTAGTTACAGGTCAGGTCTTACGGTCATAAAAATTTCGAGCACGACTATCGTACTCAGACTCAGAAATTAACCAATCAAAATACTGAATTTGGTGTTTCGAGTACAATTTTTTCTGGGTCGATACATCTGCTGATGAACTGGTTATCTCCGAGTGTATCCCCATCTCAGTAGGTCAATGCTTAGTTCTGGCTTGAAAATATGGACATTGTTTTACAGTTTTTTTCTGTGACAAAAAAATTGGGCAATCATTTAAAATCAAAGAATTTATTTCCTTCATACATACGTCCGGTTTGTTAATATTATTTGTCCATTTCGGTTTTATTTAGGTCGTCAACGTTTGTATTAGGTTTTTGGATGTTTTATTAATTTGGCGTACATTATTACTGAAGATACATTTATTGCAGCCAAAATTGGCACAGTTCATTTAAGGATTTTATACATGATTGGAGATTTGTTTCTACATCTTCCTTCCTTGAACCCCTGAAAATTGATAAGGTATGGTGGGAAACCTATGCTTGAGACATTTGCCGTGACTCAGTATTTTACAAAATAAGATATTTTCGCCGACAAATCGTGACAATTTCTATTGTTTGTGTCGGGTCCTGTTTAAGGTATGCTAAAATATTTTTTATGTTTCACATAATTAAAGGACAGTAGCATGACGGGTCCTTCACCTGAAACCTGTGATTATTTGCATTTTTAAAGTTCGTTAAATTTCTCATGAATGTAATTTCTTATTTTACAAAGGAAATCGTGACTGATTTAAATACATCTATGAATGCTTATGATTAGTAAACCTAAATAAGAATGATTTACCAACGATTTAAATTTTCTTCAACGTTGATAAAATTGTTGTTTTCTATACGTAAACAGACATGGATACATAGTGATTTGGATGGAGAGTTGTCTCATACCACATCTTCTTATCTATATGGACAACAACAGAGTGTTCACACATAACGATATCAAATTTGGAATTACATTCTATTCGACAGCAGATTTTCTGACTATGTTATTTTATTTATTAATTAAGGGGTTGGTTAAAAAATTGAACGAGCAAATGTGGACGTCTTTGTCGCTACTTAGTATACTTAACGAACCAAATTCACATTATTTCGCATTTAATCCCAAGTTTATAAATGGTCTTCTTGAGATTTAATCTGTTACGCTGTAAAGAAATTCGTTTCTTAATTTGTGGTTCGTTATCACCATTATGACAAAGATTTACCCCCCAAAATGCAAGACTTAAAACATAATTCATGGTTGTATGGCTCTTCCCTTTTCGAGCACTGAAACAACTTTCCATGAGTTATGATTTTGTATTTTTCTTTGTACATGTATTTAAATCTTAAATTTGGTTTTATTTTTCAATATATTACATGTAATGTAAGCCATTGGTGACTGTATTGAATACATTACACACTTTATAAATATCGTGCGTCTGAAGCGCTTTTCTGTATTTACATTTATCAGAAACGCACAAAACAAAAACAGTTGAAGGCCATGGATGCGTCAATATGCTGCAGCGTTATAGAGCTTTATAACCAAAAAGGACCTAAACAGAATAGCCAAATTAATTTTAGATCAACATTGTCTGATGCAGTTGGAACCTTAGCTTCTTATTTTTTTAAATTTATGAACGCGGAATTGTAAATTCGTATTTAACAATCCAACCTTTACAAATAGAGTTATAATTTATGGGCACGTTATCCATCCAATTGCCATTAACAGTAGCATGACGGACCCTTGACCAGATGCATTATACATGTAGACACTTTATTTGTTTTATTATTGCAATCTGTATTAAGTTTACACGACTTATAAAACTGAATTTTAAAAGTCAATAATGTTTTCATTTTTTCCGCAGATAGTTAAAACATTTTGATGATTTATATAAAATAATGAAAGCGCTATGTACAAGGACTGATACTTAAATAGCTTAATATTCTATTTAGATATTTTTTAGACTAAATCCATTATCGATATTCTATCTACATGTTTAACCCATTTATCAGCCTTGACAGAATATTGTTTATAAATTTATAATTATCTTAAATTTATTTCACTCACAGAATCAAGATCAAAAGTTGGGTCAAACCTTGGTATGATTGTAAAATAAAAAAGAAGCATGCATAAAAAAATGAAAAAAATATATATAATCCAATCATAATAAACATAAGAGTAATATATTATTTACAACACTAAAAAAACTAGATTTTTACATAAACCTTTAAGGTATGACTGTAATATTTTTTCTGTCTATGAAGAAATAACATAAAAAAATGTGGTGCACACTGAATAACCCGCGTAGACATAATTTCGTTATATGTGACCGTGACGTCATCAACGTATTTTTCATGATTTACTCCTTAAAAATGGAATTTAGAATTAAATTATTAGGAATGGCTGTAATATTTTTACTGTCTATTCGAAATAACCTAAAAAATGTGGTGCACACTGAATAACCCGCGTAGCAAGAAAAAAATGTCTTATTTCTGACTTGATACAGGCATTTCCAGAAGAAAATGGTGTTGCATTAAATTTGAGTTTTGATACATGTATTCTCTCTTTCTCTTTATCGATTGAAAATTCAAGGGTGTAATGGGAAATTTCAACTCTCTAACTTTTTCTTGTAAGTAAGATTTATAAAATATCTAAATATAAAAAACAAGGAGATATGGTATGATTACCAATGAGACAACTATCCACCAAAGTGCAATTGAAGTGGATGTAAGCAAATTTACTTCACAACAACTGGTTTGATATAGTTTTCATTGAGTCAAGTTAATTGCAGATTCATTGAAGGTTGAACATTTTTTAAATGGAACACTTGATCTCCTTTTCGTGATTTATCTAACAATTAAATGTCCTACCAAAAATATGGGTCAATTTGCGTAATTTTCGTCCATCAAGATTAGATTTAAATTTTTACTATAGAATGTATTTCTTACAAAACAAAAGAATTCATGTATGGTTAAAGTACATGTACACATACATTATGTTTGATTCAAGAAAGCATGAATGTATATAATTACTTAACTTAATTTTGAGAAATGAGGATGTATACTGAGAATAAATTCTACAAAGATTGATTGATTGTTGCTTGATTAACGTCCAGTGGCAAATATTGGATGCATATTCAAGGCGTAAACAATTAACAATTACCACAATACTTATGTTTTGAAAAGTGGGTTGACCGGAATCAAGGGCGAATGTTTTTTAATGCAACTGGAAAAATGAGTGTATATTGGATAGGGGCAGACATCATCAGTTGCCTGTCAACATGACAACTACGGACACTCCAAGAGTTGGTACAAGGGGTATTTAACGTGCAGAAAGTATTGCAATTTCCTTATGTAGGCATCGAATTGAACACACCCTCCCCTTACATGGGAGTCGTACACCTCTGATGAAGAAATTTGAAATATTTCTATATACCGGAGGTGCTACATCGACTAATAGGTCTTAAAATAAAAGCGTTCGGCTATATGGATATGTTTCTAAACATCCAACCATTTTTATTATTCCAGAGTTAAGGCAAAGTCGAGAAAGACTTGGTCTAGCTTTTGACAAGGATCATTGAAAATTTGAAATATTTTCATTCAAAATTTGCAATTAACAATCAATAGCGATTAAATGCATTTTAAAAATAACATTTCGATTTTACGAATACACAGTACAGTTCTTGAAAAATCTAATTTTAGTAGATCATATAGATTCGTTTAGGATTCAAATCTCAATAGGTTTTATTTACTCTCCGACTTTGACCATATTCGTGAAATTACTGCAGGTGTAGTTTTGTTTATTTTGTGAAAAGTATAGATGGTTTTTAAACTGTTTAGAAAGAAAACGAGATGGAATTGACAATAAGAGAACAAAATATTTTTTAATGTGTAAGTTATCGATACATTTTGTTGAAAGGTTTTTAACCCCTCGATGGAATACATCAATGTCTCTCTTATGCGTGTGTGTGTTTGTGTTTCATTAAGTGAGTGTTTGGAAGAAGGTTAGGAGTTTTTCCAAAATATCCTATTAAACAAATTACAAATTACAAAGTTTATTTGCCTACGGTTAAATGAGATAAATGTTAAACATTTATAGACTGTAGAATGCAATGATGCAACTGCATGTCAATACAGTAGACCATGACATTATAGGTGATGGAATAGGTATCTAAAATTAATGCAATTCATTAAACTGTGCTTACCTTTCTTTCGTTTAAACTTTCTGTATAAAACAAGAATTCATGTCCTTACGTCGACTATTCTACCAATCACATGGCAACAGCCATTGTAACAGTTCAGCATGGTCTACGTATTGACGGTTAGACTTATATGTTCACCTTTACCTAGGTTTCATGGGTGTCATGAATAATTAATCAGGATGCTGTACAGCAAGCAGTCTATTGATTTCTGTTGTTTAATGATAATGGGGATTTCAATGTTATTCCACAAATCTATATTAAATGACCTAAATTCATTTGCGTGATAGATATGAAGAAATATTTACTAAAGGTTTTATTCCTTAAAATTAAAATTGTCAAATGATTACTTGGGGAAAGCGGCGGCAACACTTAATTTAAGTTACGATCATCTCACGATGGAAGACGATGGGAATAGACGAATATATATTTTTTTCTCGAGTTGTCTGTAACAGACGACCTAAATATAATATATGTGTCTGCTTATGGAACATGAATGTTATTTACAATGCATAACTTTCGACATAGCGAAAAACAAAAAAGAAACTCAAGTCGTGAATATGGAATATCGTATGATGCTAGAAATTGAAATTTCTGACTTCTCAATTATAACTAAGGTTAAGAATGTCCAATAAAATAAATATTGTCTATCCAATTATATTGACCAATTTAATATTTTGGGGGAATTAGTAATGTGTCCAGGCAATGTTGAGTAGATATTTAAAGCAGTGTAACACTTACAGAATAAGTGATATTTAAATAAATAATTTTGTTATTTTACAAATTTCCAGAAGGAAATTCGTGACAGACAGCTTTAGCTACTTCTTTAAATTATTGAAACTAGTATATTTACTAGCCTACTTAAAATTGAAAAATCTTAAACGTATAATGGTCTTAAGTCCTTTCTCAGGATGTTAATCAAATGTCATTGCAAAACATTATACTACACAACCTATGATAATGCCCTTGGAGATTTTGATATTAGGGGTAATCGATCCAAAGGAAGTATATGATCAACTGGAGTTGGATTCTTTGTTCTATAGTGGTAAATTTTCGCTTAAACATTCAAAATTTCAAGATGAAGAACAGCAATATATGAGCATGTATGGTTTTAATATTCATCATGTCTGGACTGTATGAAATCATCAATTCAATGACACATATATTGGGAGATGTCCCCGTTCTCCATAATTTACAAAATCCGTGCAACAATTCTTTAGAACAGTTTGTGTTTGACTGCTGTACGTGAAAACTTTTACCCAACCAACTTTTCTGTTGTTTATTAGTTTCGATGCACCTTTCTCCGAGTCCATCGAGTTTTCAGATTTAAATTCACCTATTGTCTATTCATATATCTTTTACAGAAAAGGTTTTATTCATACAAATTTATTTGTGAGTTGTAGCAACCAACAACATCAAAAGAACTACTAGTACTTTTACGTTCTCAATACTGATTACAGCTATGTTACCTATACAGTGCATTGCATTCCAGCAACTACAACGAAGAAACACTTCACTTACAAAATACGTTTTCCACTACTGTTTCCATAGAACCACAACCCTGTCACCCTTTTTCATTCTGCCATCACCGACCGATTTTTTTTGTATATCTTTCATCAAGAAACATCACGGGTTGCCATTATTAGCAGGAACTGCTTGCCTTTCCTAAACACGTGACTTAATCCAAGGTGTTTTGTGGAGTTAGTATTGCTCAACCTTGAATTTTCTGTGTAGTGTTTTGTAGTCTGTTTATTGTATCTTTGTCTTTATTCTGTATTTGTGTTGTTTTCTCTTCCATTCACATTCTTTCTTCACACTAGAGCTTTCTTAAACTTTGACGAAAGGTACGAACGAACGTAAAGGGAGCATGTATTGCATTTCCACGGTAACGCTTAGAGTCTTTGTTTTATCCGGTAAAACAGCATTCTCTGAATCAAACGTATCTTTAAAAATTTAAGCATATAGCAAATAAAAAAAACGCTTTTAATATCTGAAAATAATGAAAAATAGTTTCAAATACACTTACGTCCGAACGTTACTTATTTTAACCACGATTACACACATTTGCGCGGGAATTATTCAAGCATGCGTTTCACAATTAACATTTTTACTGAAATGATTAAAGTATGATACTCTAAATTTAACGACAAGATTCACAATTATTTCTATTTTTTTTATTTTTAATGAATATGCTACCATCAAATTGTCAACGTGGATAATCGAGATTTGCAAGGCAAGGTTGCTGCAATGTTTTGAAAAAGTAAAGTGAAATAAATCTGGAAAAAAAAAGATTTTGCGATGAAGTTTTTTTCTGTTAATGTTAAGGTTGAATGTGAAAAAAAGTAATTTGACTCTCGCGATCGCAGGAAACAAATGTAAGACGGAACAAATACTATAGTCCCCTTGGAAGTTAATGGTCGTTGCCTCAGTATTCCACTGTTTTTCAACTTGTAATATCTTCAGTTAATGCTAGATACGCAACTGATTTGGGATCATTCTTTTACACGTCATTCATTTGTTTTAATCAACTAATAATTGTGAACAAATCAGTGGTGCATTTAGCATTTACAGAAGATGTTAACACGAGCGAACATGTAAAATCCTATGTCAATTCCATGGGGAGGGGGAAAAATTAACACACGCACACCCTCACAAACAGCTTTGATTTTACTACTAGTAGTTAAATCTAGGATAAATGTCCACTGGACAACAGCAAACCAACAAATAGATGATCATCAACACCAATGCAAGTAAAGTTTAATATGAATGATACATAGTTCACACTGTATAACAAGCAATAAATGGTAAAAAAACAAATGAAAAACAAACAAGTTATATTCAAAGAAAAAACGGAAAACTTTGGTGTTTTGGAAAATTAAACCGTCTCTTTCTCTGACTTAGTTATATATAATAGACCAAGGCGAAGATCTAGAATAGGAAGCTAGGCATGTGTCTGCTGAGTAGAGGCATTCGGGTGCGCCTCACTTCTAAATCCGCCCTTGAGCTCTAATTATAGATCAACTAATTATAGAGATTGTTTTGTTCATTTACATACACATTTTAACACTTAAAGGTATATCAAGAAAATAAATCGGCAATCTTACACTACATATATTCTGGATTTAATAATGACGATTAAGCAGGAAACATGCTAGGAAAATTGATGATTATTGGTCGCTTAACGTCCAGTGGCAAATATTTCATGAATGTTCAGGACGAATACGCAATTGCACGCTTGAAGAACGGTTTCATAGGCGAGCCTAACTCGGGTGTATTGACACATCACAAGGCGACAATGGGTGTTACCCAGGGAGAAGCGGGGTTGTGAGCACAATCTTTTATTGTTTTTTTCTTCTGACGTTATATCTAGGATATTTTACAGAAAGAATTATCTCCTTTCCCCTGGTGGTATTATATTTTTACCTTTTGTACGTCCCGAAATTCCTATATCTCATGAATAATCAAGTTTAACACGTGTCGTTGAAATGGCCCTTGATAGGCAAACATTAACATGATTAAGGTGAAACGCCATTGAATTCCATGACGCTTCGATTAACATTACATAAATATGTCAAAATAAAGGATCCCTAAAACGAGTCTTACGCATGATTCGTCTGAAAGCGTACGTCAAATTGTAAGAAAACTCTATTATGCACAAATAAAACTTAATAAACGCAACCGTTCCTTAATAAATTTAGATATATTACTGAATATTTCTAAAATCATTTGACATTCATTTTGTTTATTTACTTAGTCGTTCATTGTAGAACAAATACAATAATTTTAGTTGTTTTTTGGCAAAGTGATATTGTAAAAATATCCAAAAACTCGACACAATGTGGACCTTTTTGTAAGAACGATATCGTTTAGTGTCAAGCAAAACTATATATCGAAAAATGTGCCCTTCAAACAGTCTTCATGAAACAACCATCATGAGCAATCCACACTTAACATCGATTCCACAATCACGATTTTAATCGCCTTCTCTAAAATAAATTGTGTTAAAAAAGATGAAAATAACACTTTATAAAAACCAAGGATGTTTAGGTACTGAAACACGTGAAGAGCTATAAGGGGCCTAAATTAATTTTTTTTTAAATAGGAGATTTGATTATATAAAGTCATGTTCGGTGGTTTGATGAGAGTCAGCATTAGTGTAATTTTTTCGAACTTTGAAGGACATTTGCGACATTAACTCGACACTCCGACCATGAACGATATGCATGTAGGGAAACTCGTAAGATCCCAGCATTCGTAGCACATTTGCTTATATTCTAATTCTATGCAAATAATTACTTCCTAGAGTTTCTAGTATGTTAGGTATATCCACATCTGGTCTATGAACTTTTCTACGACATATATGTAGAAAACCCCTTTCTATCTTTACATCCCGTACAGTTACGCCAACGCCACTAGCAAGAGCAACTAGAAAGGATCTTGCTCTAACAGGCAGCTCAGTATTTACTTCCACAGATGTCATTGATTTAAACTTTCGGACGAGGCTGTATATTTTTATAAACCGTCAACGAGTCCCATTGGTGAAAAGGTGTTGTAAGAGCACACTAAATTACACAGAAGCAATCTGGTAATCTGATATTCTCTAAAAAATATATTAGAAAAATTTATGTTGATTTGCAAAACATTTAAAAATGTCAAAGAACACATCTTCTTAAAACATTTCGAAAAGCAACGAACACGACATTTTATGAAAAAAATATAAAGGACTTGAAAATCATGGTATCTTTTAATGAAAAAAGTTTTTCTGAATATATATATTTATTTCATTGTTAAATTATCTCTTTACAACAGGGAACGAGCTGGGACAGCGGGATACTAAGATAGTTACTAATAATTAAAAGTCTAATAATTACATGTACATTAACGCTAAAATGGTATAATACATTGGTTTTGTCGTGAAAGTACATTGCAATAACAAGTTCATATTCATATATTATATGAAATCTGTAGCCGTCATCCATAAAAAAGACAAACAAAAAAAAAACCCAAAAAAACTCAAACCTTAAATCTAACACTTTTCTACACAATTCATATTATTAATTTGAAATTTTATCAAGTAAAACGAATGCTTATTCATAACGTCTGTAAAAGATTTTTTCCCAATCTTATCT